TAAATTTTTTTTATTAAATTTCGATTTTTAATATTTTTTGTTAGTTTACGATTTTTAATAATTCTTTTATTAATTTTCGATTTTTAATAATTTTTTATTAAATTTTATTTTTAAAAAATATAAAGAAGGATAAATGGTAATTAACCACTCTGAAATTAAATGAAAGAGCTTTAATTCAAAATTTTACTTTGCTTATAATATATACGATGATCTGATTACATACCGCGATATGTCTCTTTCGTCGGAATCCACCGTTCCTACGGTTAGTACCGTCACCAGTGGCGTGGCGGAGCCACATAGAGTTTGTTAGGGTCATATGCCCCAGTGAATTATTAAAAACTGATGCCTCATATATGCACCCAATAAAAAAAATTTCTGGCTCTGCCACTAACGGTCACCGTATCTTACTCGGAGCTCAAGGTAAAGTGAATTATCTTTTTGAACCTAAATCATTTGGCTTCTCTGTGTTCGGTTTTTGTCTTCTAAAAATCCTTATGTTTGTTTCGATTAGGAGAGCAACATAGATTTATCTGCGAGGGTTGAACAAGGATTCGGACCTGATGGACTTGGAATCATTTCCGTTAAAGATGTATGAATCACCTTCTTACACCATAAAGATTGTAATTTTCTTCAGCTTATGAGTTATGTAATCTGTTATACAGATTTCAAATTTTGATTCAGTTAAAGATCGTATTTTTTTCAGTTTATCTTTCTTTTGCTGTCAAGATATGTAATTTGTTACCTCAAATTGTGTTTGATTAGGAGTTAAAAAAGGTTTCAAATTTGATTTTATTGAAGTTCATATTTTCTTCACTTTATCTGTCATTTTTTGTCAAGGTTATGTAATTTGTTGCCTCAATACGTGTTTGATTAGGAGTTGAAAAGATTTCAATGTTGATTCAATCAAAGGTCGCATTTTCGTCAGTTTATATTTCTTTTGTTTTCAAGTTTTATGTAATTCTTTACTTCATTCAAATTGTGTTTGATTAGGAGTTAAAATGATTTGAAATTTGATTCAGTTAAAGATCGTTTTTTGTTCAGTTTTTTGTTGTCAAGGTTATATAATTTCTTACCTCAAATTGTGTTTGATTAGGAGTTCAAAAAGTTCAAATTTGATTCTTTTTTTAGGTTCCAGGGTATTCTGATTTACGTCAGAATCTACTTCAGCTTGCACCTCGGTAAAATTTTTGAGTTTGTGTCGCTTGGTTGATTCAATGAAAGATTAGATTTTTTTCAATTTGCTCTCAATGATTTGTTTCCTCTGTAAAAGGTTAGCTAATCTTCCTGAAGAGGTGAAGAGGGAGCTTGAAGATGCTCATAGCAGGTGAATAATACTATCTCGCAATTTTCTTTTGTTTAATCTATATACTTTATTTCTTCTTTTCTATATATATATATATATATATATATATTTAACTCCTCCTCTTTTTTCGTTGTTACTTCTTAGGTATAATTTCGGTTGGAGTCATGGTAAGGAGAAACTTGAATCCGGGAAGATTGGTGAGCTTATAGACTGTTTTATTGCCGCACTGTTGCTTCATAGTTACTCGTTGAGAAGAACTTCGAATATTTCGCTAAAGATAGTTTCTTTGGCCTGCTCTGGGTATTTGTTTGTGCAGACATGTTAAAGGGTTCTTATTATGCTAATCCTCTACAAGATGTACCCACGAGTAATTCATCTGAAATCCAGCGGTAAAGAACACTGATACTCATGGTTTATGTTTTCCAAATATTTGGCTTTTATAGTATTGTAAGTTACTTTGTATTTGGTGTTATGTTTACATGAACTATATGTTCTGGTCTGCATTAAAAGTTACAGACTTCTTCTTTTCTATCTTCATAATTTTTCGCATCTATTTATCATGTAGGTATCCATGGTATTGTGGATCAAACATATGGCCAGGAAATTCTTTGCCGGAACTCGAAGGAGGTAACTAGGTGATACTTGCTTTACTTGCATATCGTTAGGTTTTTTTTTTTTAATTTGGTAATAAATTTTTGGTGTCTCAGCTTTGAGAACGAATTGTTACATTTCTTATGTATCAATGATAGCATGATTCCGATTGATCGGTGCTATGAATTTGATAATTTATGAAATCTGCTTGCGTTTGCAACCTTAGCTTGTTTTCGTTGATGCTCTCTCCTTTACATTTTTTTCTCTAGTTAACTAGTTTCCTCCAAAGAACTGAGTGTTACTTTCTTACATGACAGCTTTCAAAGCTCTTGGTAAACTGATGTTCGAAGTTGGGCTGATGGTAGCTTACCACTGTGATCGATATGGTAATTAATTTTGTTGGCGTTATTGAATCTATCTTTGAACATCCTTGAATAGATATCCTTTAGACATTGAAAGCTTTGCTTGCAAAGATAGGTCTGGAATTGAGCATAGTATAGCGTTATCTCACTAATGAAATATCATCCAGAAACCAGAGATTGTGACTAAGTTAATATTCCGGAATACATGTTGTTTATGTCTGTAGAGTAGCCAAATTCAATTATTACTCTTAAAATGAAGACTAATTAGTTTACTTAGTATTGGTGGGTGGATACAATCTCTGAAACCAGGCTCATTGTTGGATTTTTATGTCATTGTCTATTTTGCTGAAGCCCTTTACAATCCATGATTTGCAGTGTCAAAGGGTATAAAACAACATGAAAAGCAAAATCTTGAAAAGATACTACTTGGCTCTCGGTGTCACAAAGGACGTCTGCTTTACTATTTTCCTGCACAGGATAGGTAAAATTTGATGTACTTTGACTCTGCTGATTTACTTTTGGAGTTTAGTCCCTAGTGGTTAAATACTTGTGTACACATGACATGTTATATATGCCTCTTTAAAAGGTAGATATTGCATTTGGGCTAGATCAGGTACTTAATTGTCTGATATATTGACATATTGTCTTCAATCCAGCACAACGGATGACAACGATTCCATCTCATCTTGGTGTGGATGGCATACAGACCATGGTTCACTCACAGGTCTCTTGCTTTCCTGAGTTGTTACTTTTTACTAGAGTGTAGTTCCCTCCTTTTTAAAGACGGTTTTCATCTTTCTCTCTGTATTAGCTGTTTAAGTGTATCGTTCTACGTTTATCCACAGGTCTTACTCGTGCAATATTTTCAAGAAATTCAGTCGAAGTACCTTGCCCAGATCCTGCTTCTGGCTTATACATTCAAACACGGTCAGGTCAGATCGTTAAGGTACACAAATGGTCCTTCCTGATGACTCTGCATCGTTTATATATAATGATTAATGTTCTTAAGAAATTGCTTCCTTTGCATATGATTAGGTTGTGTATGGAGAAGATGAAATAGCATACCAAATAGGCGAGACAACAGCGATTCTGTCGAGAGGTTATCTCTGTGCTACACCTCATTGTGTACGGGTAATAATATTTCGTGCCTTTGCAGATGACTCGCCTCAACTCTAGGATATTTTTGTATTGTATTAAGTTTGGGATCTCGACACCAAAACGACCCATAGTTTCTTGTTTTCGTGTTCAGGCGCCACAAGGAGATGAGGCTTGTGGTCTAGAGCGATCTACATTTGCATTGTTCATGCAACCTGACTGGTATTAGTCTGAACTAAGCTAACTTTTTATTGATAGTTTCTTATAGTTACTAGATTTTGACATTGAAACCTTAGTGAAACAAAAAAAAAATAGTGAACATAATTGACTTTACATAATATGATAATAGTATCATTAAAGGGAATAATGGAATATGCACTAAGAACCCTTACAATTTTCTAGCTGAATAAAGTCATCTTAAAATCTGGATTAAGTTATAAAAAAGTAGATAAAACTCATTGATTATGTTGTACAAAAACTGATAACAAAAATGTGTTTTTGTGGTTTATCAGGGATCAGAAGCTTACATTTCCCAAGGAAGTAACAAACCATGAAGATGTCTCTCTCTCTAATGGCGTCTTGACGTTTGGAGAATATACAGAGAAACTACTCAATATGTACTACGATACAAAACCATAGGACCCTTTTTAACGCAATGTGTAAATCACGATTCCATTGGTGTAAGATTAAAAAAAGGGGGGAAAAAAATCCACCAAATTAGTACTTTCGGTCGTAGGAAGTAAAATTTGATTTTTGATGTTTGGTTTAATTTGACGTTTGAACCAAACAGAAATTTACAGAGTACAATAATTGGTTTGGTTTCTCATAGCGACCGGTGATGATCGGTGATGTTATGAGGTGGTGATCCCCCATTTAATTTTAGCATGGTCGGTTCCAATGGGTAACCATTTTTTCCTATGTAGATTATTTTTGCGGTTTAATCGATTTTTGTGTTGGATTGTTGTTCATACCAACAATTCATTTTCTCATTATTGCCGGATCTCGGAATTTTGTTATTTTTGTTATGATACTAAAAATTGTAGCCATTTTCTTATATCTTATCTAATCTTATATATAAAAGATGGCTAATTCTCTTCATATAAGTGATACATCATCAGTTTCGATCAATATGAAAATCATCAGTTTCGATCAATATGAAGATAAAACGTATCATATATTTTAAAGAAAATTAACTAGTAGAATTTAATCTAAGTTTTAAATCATTCAAATAAATAAAAAGTTTTTTTTATAATTGACTTTTAAATAACATTTATGTATATTAAATCTTATATATTAAATAAGAATGTAGTTTAATGAAAAAATCTGATTTGTTTTAATTTGATTGGTTCAAAAAACAGTTTGCTTATGTTAATGATGACGTTTATTCCACGTCAAATGTGACATGACAAAAATGCTGATATGGACAATTATGATTAGTTTCAAGAGAATAGACACTTTTTAAAATAGACTTATCTTATTTTGCTCCCTTTTTGATTTTTTTTGTCGGTTATTTTATCTTACTTCATTTCCATTTTGAGTCCAACTTTTATCTTTTGCTTTAGTTTTTTTTTTTTTTCCTCAACATCAAACTTTCCATTAACCAAATGAAAACATACTCAATTACAACTCTGTTTTTCTTCCTCAATTTAAAGGTAGAACACAATCAGGCGTGATAGAAAACAGTTTGGATGCATATTCAACAATGAAAAAGCTTCCTTTGCCAGTTTATCAGCCACACGATTTCCATCTCTAGGATAAAAGCAAACTTTAAATGCATAAGGGGAGCTAAGATCAGCTGCAGATCCTGATGGTTTAGTTAAAGTCTTTAAAACACAAAACTCTATAATACAATCAGATTTATCAAAGTTGGGAAGAAAGAGAGGAAATAAGAAAACCGTATCTTTTCTACTTCTCTTCCTCTCTCGCTCTAACTAGAAGATGGGATATTTCTCCAACAAGATCTCCGAACTCAAGGCAGGAGATCTACTCATACCGTTCTTATTTGTACATCCATCACGGTTCCATCTCTTTCTCTAGGTCGATCTTAGTTATTTCTGGGTTTTTGCTGTTGAAGTTATCCAAGATCTCAAATTTGGGATATTTTGGGAGTGGTAGATGAATAACGCTGAATTTTCTGATTTTACAAATTCACAGGAATCTATGTAGGCGATGGAAAAGTCTTTCATTTCACTCGCAGAGGTGGTTTAGAAATTGGAGCCGGAACTTTTTTAGACATAAACATCGAATTTTCAGCTCCGAACCGGAACCCATGTCTTAATTGTGGAGATCAATCGAATCTCGAAGGTGTAATCTCTTCTTGCCTTAAGGGCACAGAGAGAAGCAACACAACTTTCTTCAATTAATGGCTCAAATCAATGGAATTTCCTCCTCCGCCGTAGAGATACAAACGCCTCCATAACTTCACCTTACCTTATCTCCGATGGGGCCAGCAGAGATTCTTCAGGTGCGTCAAGCTCTCACACCACCGATCTCCTTCTTCATTTCATTCTTCTTTTTCCAGATCTTATTCCTTTTCCAGATCAATGAATCTCGTTGGAACGTTTGATTACACGAAGATGTGCCATTTTCCTGTAAAGATAGTTATTTTTGTTTAGTTTAATTACGAAGCTTGTACATATGCTCCACGTCTGCCATAGCTGAGAATTCCACACCACTTTATGTGCTTTGGTATCTTCTGTTTAGGAATATAGTTAGCTATATGGATGAGTCTCTATGGTTGATTGTATGGACGAGATTAGAAGAACACCTCTGACGCCGTAAGATGAAATGAGAGCTGGAATGAAAAACATTGGGATTGATGAGCATGTCCCTTACAATGCCCCAGTGATTCAGTTTCTTTGTGGATGGGTGGTGATCGTGATGGTACATAATTTTGTCCCTTACAATGCCCCTAGTCTCTTTCCTCCTCTTGAAGCGTTGCAGTGCCATTGTGTTCCCTTGAATTTCTCCTGCATTATTGTTTGTTTATGCATGTGTATTTGTCCAATTGTCTAAGCCGTTTACAATTGTGTTAATTACTCTGCTTTTCCTTCTTGCACAGTCGCCTATGCTAAGTGGAATTTCATGGTACAACTTGTCTTCAGTGGAGGTTGGTATCATTGTGAGTATATGATTCACCTTTCTTCGTTCTTCAACATGTTGGTTACTGCATTTTTGTTTGTTACTGTCTAATCCTTTTAGGAACTGTGGTCTTTCTTGTGGAAAGGAAGTAATGTTGGTTAAAGAATTTTAAAAATTTTGTGCAGACTAGTGGCTCACTTTACGGTGCCTTGATTGGATCCATTGTGGAAAGGAAGTTATGTTACTTCTCTACATACTCCACACAAATGTGAACATGTGGATATCGCATCTTCTTGTCAACTATCTTCGGTTTTTCAGTTTATCATTTCAATAGTTTCAAAGGACATAATGTCCACACAAATGTGAATATATGGATACCCCATCCTCTTATCGTCTATGTAATTTTAGTGTATGTCCACGCAAACGCGCACATGTGGATATCATATCCCTTTGTTGACTATACTCAGGGGTTCAGTGTATCATTTCAACAGTTCCAAATAATATAGTGTCCACGCAAATGCACATATGTGATATCATATCCCCTTGTCAACTATAATCAGGGATTCAGTGTATAATTTCAACCGTTGCAGATAATATAGTGTCCACGCAAATGCGCACATGTGGATATCATATCCCTTTGTCGACTATAATCAGGGATTCAGTGTATAATTTCAACCGTTCCAAATAATATAGTGTCCACGCAAGTGCCAACATGTGGATTCACATCTGAGGGTCAAATCAAAGCTCCAAGTTGCAGTTTAGATCAAATTTATTATGTTAATTTGTTTTTGAAAGATGAAGATAGATACAATTTTTTACGTGAATGCAACATTATTACATGGCTTCTCTCTTTTATGTTAAGCTCATTGTAGGTTCTATATGTTTTCTATTTTATTTTTTTTTCTGAAAAGGATTTCAGATATATAATTATTTAACATGGTGCTATTCACGTAAACATGGTAATATCTTATACTTCTGTGAACATATTGTAACTCCTATACTTCTGTGCCTGTTAGATTACCATTTGATTACTAAACATGGTAATATCTTATACTTCTGTGATGAGATTTCTGTAAACGTTTTCCTTGTAGCATGCAATGGGTTAGTTATTATTGCGTGGAATTCAGTTTCCACAATGTTTTCTAAATGAAAGTAAAAAAGAGTGCAGATCTAAAGACTAAAAGGGAAGTCGAGTGTTACAAGAACCTAGTGCATAAACAAAATCAATTCGCTAGAACATGCAAGCATGCCAAGGTTTTCTCAGTGCATCATATTTGAATGCTGAGGAAGTACCTTAACAGTTTCATCTCTTGAATATGCATCTGCCACATCACACAGCTTTCCACTGATATAGGACGCAGAATACTTCCCGTCAGCTGTGCCGTATTCTCCAAGCACCCAACAAATGACCTGGATATTATATCCAAAAGTAAGAAGAATAGATCCCAAAGTAAGAAAATATGATACGCGGAGAGGTCAGATAACAAAACCAACCTGAAGAAACAGGGATTGGAAGCTTTGGCTCGCTGATAATCTGCAAATTTGATTCCACCTGCATCAAGATAAGCACACTCATAAGCACAATACAAAAAAACACAGAAATTAAACCAACGAAACAAATCCATAAGTAAGCAATATGATACAAAGTTACTCAATCCTATTTCAAGATTGCCATTTCCGATATCAACTCAATTAAATAATAAAAAAGAGTTCATATAGCACAAAAACTAGATCTACCAATCTCTTTGCACATAAAAGAAGAACGAACACAAATGGAACGAAAAACATACAGCTGATAATCTAGTTTTGCTGTCTGCATCGTCATCGCCCTGTCCAAATCCTTCAGCAATCAAACGCATCAAATTATGTGCCACCTTAATATGTACCAGATCTCTTGCATGCTCAAAGACTTTATTCATGATCTGCAGTATGAGTTATGTCAGCCGAAACAAAAATTAAATAAGTGCAAGGGAGGTTAGCTTGCTATCTGGATGAACCATTGATTACTTGGATCGAATTGTTCGGCCAATGCTATCTCAGTCTTGTAATGGCTGTCATTGATACTAATCATGTAATCAATCATTCGGTCGACAATCACTTCTACATTAGAGGACTTGGTCATTTTATCCAACCGATTAATTCTGGTTTGCTGTTGCCTCTAATATGGAACTCTCTTTCTCAAATCTCTGGATTTAAAAAGTCTACCCAGTAATTAATCTGAATTTTTAAGATTAGTGAAAAAGTAGGAACACTAACTGATGTGTGATTCTGGAAAGCAACAACAAAGACTTGGAGTTGGAATTAGAAGATGGAGAGCAAGTAGCTGAGGAACAAGAGCTTGTAGCTGATCAGGAAGATCTTTTAAGCGTTCCGAGTGGTCCAATGACTCGATCAAGGACTAATAAGCTCAAGCAAATCATTGGAGCTATCATCAAAGGCCTTGACTCGATTCAGGAGGGAAAAGAGCCGATCACAAGCACCCTGATTGTGATCCAAGTCCAAGATGGCTAAGTGGGTTTGAGATCCAGGCTTGTACTCTTTTTCCCTATCTCAAGTTTTGTCCCATTGGGTTTTCTTGAGATACACTACAAGAAAACACATCATTTACAACGACCATATTCGTTATAAATTCGTTGTAATTGAGTGTTTGCATCGATTTTACGACGAAAATCAAATCGTCGTGAATCGATCGTCGTAAATCAAATTTCGTCGTAAATTCGTTGTAATTAGCGACGATTTATATTCGTCGCTAATTTACGACGATTTTACAACGATATTTAATATTTTTTTAATTTTTAATTTTAATTTTTTACAACGATTTTACAACGATTTTTATTATTTTTTTTTAATTTTTATAACGATTTTACAACGATTTTTATTATTTTTATTATTTTTATTTATTTATTTTACGACGATTTTACAACGATTATTTTATTTTTTTTTAAATTTTTCCGGCAATGGTGGCTCCGGTGGTGATAGCTCCTCCGGCGGTGGTGGCTCCTCCGGCGGCGGTGGCTCTTCCTGCGCCGGTGGTCGCCGGTGGTCGCTGGTGGTCGCCGGTGGTCGCTGGTGGTCGCCGGTGGTCGCTGGTGGTCGCCGGTGGTCGCTGGTGGTCGCCGATGGTCGCTGGTGGTCACCGGTGCTGGTGGTCGCCGGTGGTCGCCGGTGGTGGTCACCGGTGGTCGCTGGTGGTGGTCGCCGTGGTGGTGGTCGCCGGTGGTCGCCGTTGGTGATCCGTGGTGGCCGGTGGTTACTCTGATGATAGTGATACACTGATTGTTTAATAGTTATGAGTAGGTATATATATACTAGAACAAATTTTCCAAAACTACCGATGTGAGACTTTGTATATTTTATGAAATCGTTGTAAAATCGTTGTAATTTACGACGATTTTACGACGATTTGATTTTTTTTTTAATAAAAAAAATTTAAAACAAAATTTTTAAAAAAAATTTAAAATAAAAAAATTAAAAAAAAAATCGTCGTAAAATCGTTGTAATTTACGACGATTTTACGACGATTTGATTTTTTTTTCAATAAAAAACAAATTTTTTAAAAATTAAAAAAAAAACAATTTTTAAATTTTAAAAAAAAAATAAATAAATCGTCGTAAAATCGTCGTAAATTGCAACGATTTTACGACGATTTATTTTTTAAAATTATGAATTTCTAAAAACAAAATATCGTCGTAAAAACGTCGTAGATGGCGACGGTTTTACAACGATTTTTTTTGCAACAAATTAACGACGATTGTGTGCCAAATCGTCGTTAATTCGTCGTTAATTTGCGACGACAATAATTCGTTGTAAAAAGTCGTTGCTAACTCTATCTTTTCTTGTAGTGATAGGTTTTTAATGAGGCAAGAATGGATCTCTATTTCGCCTAAGTCCACAAAGCCTAAGCCCAAGATGTTTCATAAAGTGGAGCGTCTAAGTCGAATTCAAACTTGACAGCTTGTTCTTTGTTTATTTCTGAGATTGAGTTAATGTTTGTGAGACTCATCTCTTCTTTCTTTCTTCTTTATATTCGCTTGAACTCCTTTGTATCAAAACATCTTATCTTTTATTCTCAAACTCTTTCTTTAAAGATTAAGATCACGTTTGTTGGTGTGTCATATCCTTCAAACACCTTGAATCGACTTTGTGTGTGTTATATCACTTAGAAGATTCAAGTAGGCGTGTCAAGAGTGTTCCGCGACTCTTGTGTGTGTCCTATCGATTCCCCAAACTCCTTGAACAATCTCCGATTGTTTCCAAGGCCTATTTCATCAAGTTCCAGTCATTAGAGTGACGATCAAGGGCAGATCCTTACCAGGATCACATCAAGTGGTATCAGAGCACCATTCTAATCACTGGATCGTTGTGTATCAGGTTGTACCGATTCAAATCTAAGTTCTTTTCGAGTTCTAATCTGTATTTTATGATCACTTGGGCTAGATCTGTTGAGAACTTGATTGTTTGCATCACAAGACATCTAGATCATACTAGTCTTACTATAAACTGACCGATCAACTTCCTACTCGCATCCGTTTGAGATCGTCTTTTAAAATTCTCTTAAAGTGTCTATCGAGATTCTGTAAAAAGAACCAATCGCTAGTGACTTTGCTTGTGAAAATTTTCAGGAAAAGCCATGATCGAAGAAGAAGAGACAAGCCAACAACGAGACAACAAGCTTCTGATGGAGGCTATGACCGCAAAAATGAAAGAACTAATGGCTGCTCAGTTTGAAGTGTTCAAGCAAGAGATGCAACACCAATCCGATGCAAAAACTGACCGAGAAACAAGGAGAAGGAATCGCGTGCATTCGCCTGACAGAACCAGAGAACAACTTAGACCACCAAGAGATGAAGCGGCTGAGTCGTACTACAGCCGAGATAGCAGCTCTTCTAGGAGCCACCACCGACGCCAAAGACGAGCCCGGGACGAGCCTATACCTCTCCAAGACGGACTAGGAGGAATCAAGTTGCGAATTCCCTCGTTTCATGGGAAAAATGATCCGGACGCTTACTTAGAATGGGAGAAGAAAATCGAATTGGTCTTTAACTGTCAACATTACACTGAGATTAACCGAGTAAGGGTCGCGGCCACCGAGTTCTACGACTACGCCTTAAGCTGGTGGGATCAATTGGTTACTTCTAGAAGACGAAATGGAGAATACCCTGTTGAGAGTTGACAGGAAATGAAAACTATCATGAGGAAGAGGTTTGTGCCGAGCCATTATCATAGGGAATTGCATCAGAGAATCAGAAGATTGGCTCAAGGGAACCGATCAGTGGAAGAATACTATCAAGAAATGGAAACCCTTATGTTGAGAGCTGATATCACCGAAGATAGA